TTTCTTAAGAGATCTAGTTACTAATTTGATTATAGTTTTATTCAGTATTACTGTGACAGGCCTGAATCTGCTTATCCTATCCATTTTGGCTAGTTTAGATTTTTCAATTGAATGAACCAACTATTCTACTAGTGATCTAACTTCGTGACATGTAAATAATTGTTGATTGAGTAAACCTTTTAAAACTATTTTGGTTTTTGGCATGTCTTGTCTTCCTTAAATGAGACAAACATGATAAAAATTTGAAATGAGAAGAAGAAAGAATTTTAAATGTTTTGTTTTTTGGCAATGCCTTTTTCTCAACCGTACATAACTCAAAAGCTTATGATTAGCAGCTTTTGGAGTTGTACATCTGCTTTTATGATCCATTTTAGTAAAACTGTGGGCACTTGTTTCAGGTAACTGTTTGTCTTACTTGTGGCGATGAGGGCTTTCCGGAGTTGTTGGATTTTTGTGAAACGTGTCAGGTTTATGCAGTGCATAGGTGACTTACTACTTTCCCTTTCTGTCTACTTACTTTGATGAACTTGTAGCAAGTTTTTATCGTCATACTTGACTGAAGATGCTACTACTTCTAATGCCTTATGGTCATTCTGTAATTTTCCATTAGAAGTATTAAAAGTGGGAGAATTATAGTTGATGAATCCAAAGAATATGAAATGTTACTGAAGATCATTGCCAATTCTGGTCAAACAATCAGGATTTTCGTGTTATGTAATTTGACAGATCCTATTATGATTTTTTAGGTACCAAATTTGGGTCTTAAAATCATGGGTTAGGAAGCCAATGCTTGTATATATTAAAGCTCCCTATTGCAATGGAAATTAGAAAATTCCATCGTCTCATCCGTTAGATATGTATATCTTGGTATTTATACCCTGAACTTTTGTGTCATTTGACATAGATTTTTATATGATTCTTATTATTTTTCAAGCAGAAATATGATTTTAGATTTTGGTAAAAGTGCTTTAAAAATATGATTTAGAAGGTTTTCATTATCATATTACCTGCAGATGCCCCTATTTTTTTATTTCCATGCGGACATTCTTTTAAATTTCAAGTGGTATTGAAGGTGCTTATTAATACCTCGAACCTTTTCTTATGAGTTGATGCACAATACAATTGTATTAATACCATGAACTTCCTTTTTGGTATCAGATGCATAGAGTTTTTAGTTTGCTATTGAATTTTGTTCACAGCATCTTCTAAAACAGAAGTTTATGCATTTTATAAGATTTGTAGTTTCACATTCTTGATGCATATTGGCCTTATTCTCCTCAACTTACTCTTTTCAGGTATTGTTTAGATGGGCCTGTGGATTATACTGGTGAAGTCACCTGGTTCTGTGAAGATTGTGATGCAAAGGTAGTAGACACATCTTCTCATGATCAAAGTAAAGCCAGAATAGAGGTAACAAATTGCATGAAGAAAGTAAGGAAAAACAAGCAACAACAAAAAGCTGATTCTAGTGAGGGGCATGTGACTGTTACTGAACCACAGCCTATTGCTGATCCAGTGTGGAGGTAAGAAATTTGTTTTTGCTACCTTCATTTGGAGTTGGTGAAATTTCTAGCTTCTATGGTGAATCATTGTCTAAAGTTGAATTTTATGGCTAATAGGGGAAGCTTGTACTTCTGCGATCAAAGTATTGATATTTTCAATGGACTTCTGGCCCATTTGTCCAATTTAGCATGCCCCCAAGTCCAAGAGGAAGCAAGACTTCTCCCTGAGGTGCTTCGTGTGGACTTGCTTGAAAGATCTGAAGTATGGCCAAAGTATTTCAAGGAAAGTGGACCAAATGAGGAGAGCATTGCTCTTTATTTCTTTCCTGAGAATGAATGGTGATTTTTCTGATAAGCTAACATGCTCTTAGAGCTGTTTGGATATACTTTTTTTTCTCTAAGAAGCTCCTTTTTCTCAAAATGAAAGTACTTTTCACTTTAAGTTTGTATTTTGCATTCAACTTTGGAAAAAGCAAAAGTCAGGGAAAAAAACTAAACTGATTTTTTTTAAAAAAAAAAACCAAGATTCTTGGTGTCTAAAAACGGGCCGGAATATTTTATTTTATTTTTCACTTAAAAATGCTTATTAGATACTGATTCAAACGCAGTAGTTTTGCTTTTGAAAGAAGTCCCTGTGAAAAATAATGCAATGTATATAAAGCTTTTTTTCAAACTGCCCTTACTCCGCTCTCTCTATCTCTTTAATTTAATATTGAACATTACATGCTTCTACAGCAATGAGAGGGCCTTTGACGAGCTGGTTGATGAGATTATTTACCATGACCTTATCATAAAAGCTGTGGTTAAAAATGGAGAGCTTTTAGTTTTTCCTTCTACAGTGCTCCCAATGAAACAAAGGAGTGAGTTACATTTATTCTACTTCTTCAGTGCCACATTTAAATTTCACTATTTGTAAAATTAAATTGTGTCTTAATTTTTGATTTACATGTTGTGCAGGATTTCAAGCAAAGTATTACTTGTGGGGACTCTTCAGAGAAAAGCAAACTTCTCCTAAGTCTAAAACTTGTCATAACCATAGTTCCTCTAATACTTTTTAGGCCTAGTGGTGTGGTTCTGTTTCCAATGCACGGTGGTACTCCTGTTTCCCTAGCCATTGAATTCATTAATATGTATCTATTTAGTTTTACCGAACGTTTTTGAGAAAATATGGTAGCATGTTGAGAATTTTGGACTAGAGAGGATATGATCGATGGCCCTGGTTAACATTTTTGCTCCTGCATTATTTGTGATGACAAGAGAATGCCTAAGTATGTGTTTTTTTTTTTTTTTGTTAATGATTTTACATTTTACTTATTTTTTTGTTGATATCTTTTTATTGATGATTATAAATATATCACTTTAATTTGTTTTTATCATGTTTTATAAAACTTTTGAATCAAATAATTGATCCCTATTTAATAACTATGATTGATTAGTTTCATCGTCTTTTAAAAAATATTAAATATTACTATAAAAGTGCGATTTGATCCATAGCTTTAGCTGTCTTTGTCGTTAAAGTTATTGATTATTGAAACATACGGGTTTTGATTTCATAGTTTCTGGATGGCTTTGGTTAAATTTCAATACATCATAAGGATATTTGTATTTGTGGGAAGACTCAGAATTTAACTTTTAGTCTGCGTTCTTGTTAAGAGCGTTGAATGTGTATAAGAATGTGTGAGGTATCACAGCTACGGTGAGAAGAAGAAAGGAGAGAAAGAAGAACGAAAGAATTCAGAAAGAAATGATTGAAAATTACTATTAACTCTTGCATTACAATAATGTATCGTTGTGTATATATATATATATATATATATATATATATATATATATATATTAGAAGCAAAGCTGTTGTAACTAATTCTGTTTTACTGAAATAACAAACTCAGAGTAACTTAATTGATTTGGGCCTACAACCCTTTGGGCCTCTATGGTTATCATCCCCCCACAAGTGGAGGAGGCTTGAGTGGCAAGACTCGAAGCTTGGATCGAAAGGTAAGAAACTGGGCTGTGGCTACGGCTTTGGTAAGCCCATCCGCTATCTGCTCGAGCGCTGGCACATGGTGGACAGTGACACGTTTTGAGACAACCTTCTCCCTCACAAAATGAAGGTTCAACTCAAAATGTTTGGTGCGTGAGTGGAAGAGTGGGTTTGCTGTGAGAAGGACAGCTGACATATTGTCACAGTAGATGGTAGGTGAGGTTGGTACTTTGATGGTGAGTTCGGAGAGGAGAGACTGGATCCAAGTGAGTTCAGCAACTGTGGCGGCAAGACTCCGGTACTCAGCCTCTGTACTGGAGCGGCTAACGACATGCCGCTTCTTTGAAGACCAGGTGATGAGATTCGAGCCAAAGAAGATGCACAAATCACTGGTCGACCGATGATCATCTGGATCGGAGCCCCAGTCGGAGTCACAATATGCAGTAAGGTGGAAGTTAGGGGAAGGTTCCACTGTTAAACCATGGGACATCGTGCCGCCAAGGTAACGTAAGATGCGTTTTACTGCTTTCCAGTGTGTATCTAGCGAGTTGTGCATGAACTGACACACTTTGTTGACACTGTAGGCAATGTCTGGTCTTGTGATGGTAGCATACTGAAGGGCTCCAACAATGGAGCGGTATTGAGCTGGATCTGGGTGTGGAGAGCCATCATGGGCTGAAAGTTTGGGACTAGGTGTCATAGGCGAAGGCATAGGCTTACAATCAACCATGTTTGCCTTTTTTAGGAGATCGGAGATGTACTTAGACTGGTTGAGAAGGAACCCACCAGAGTTTGTTTTATGGGCTTCAATACCTAGGAAATAGTGTAGTTGGCCAAGGTCTTTGAGGGCAAAGGCACTGTTAAGGGAGTGGATTAGGGACTTGATGGCTGGTGATGATGATCCAGTGATAAGTATATCATCCACATAAACCAGAACAAATAGAATGGTGTTCTGATTTATGGAAATTAATAGAGAAGAATCACATTTAGCTGTTGTGAACCCAAGGTGATGAAGGGTAGTACTAAGTTTTTCAAACCAGGCACGTGGTGCCTATTTGAGGCCATAGAGGGCTTTAGTTAGCTTACAGACAAGAGTCTTGTCATGATGAAGGAAGCCAGGTGGCTGCTGCATGAACACCTCTTCCTGAAGATCCCTATTCAGGAATGCATTGTTGACATCTAGTTGGTGAACTAGCCATCCTTTAGATAGAGCTATGGTGAGAACAACCCGAATAGTTGTTGGTTTGACAACTGAACTAAAAGTCTCTTGGTAATCAAAACCTTCCTGTTGATGAAAACCCTTAGCTACAAGCCTAGCCTTGTATTTTAGAACTATACCATCAGGTTTGAACTTGGTTCGAAAGACCCATTTGCAACCAATGGGTAGTCTGTTAGGAGGAAGGGGCACCGGTTGCCAAGTATCATTTCTGAGAAGAGCATCATACTCTTCTTTCATAGCTTGAGCCCAATGTGGTTGTGCTAGAGCTTGAGATGCAGAATTAGGTTCCAGGGAGGCTGTAAGAGCTTTAGGCTTGAACACACCAGCTTTAACTCGTGTAGTCATATTATGACTGTTGATCAGTGGAACTGCATCCACTGGAGCTAGATGGCTGTTAGCTTCAGGAGATGTGGACCTGCAAGCATTATTCACAGGAATAGAGGACCTGCAAGTGGAGTTAGTGGCACTAGCAGAAAAATCAGCAATAGGTACACTCAATATTGGAGAATTAGGAAGCAAATGTGGTTGATGAGGAGTGACAGTTGTAAAACCCCGTGTATACCCGGTTTGTTAACATATCATAATATTAAGCTGCGCTTAATTAAAAATGCGGAATATCTTTTTCTTTTCAATTATGACGTCATTATACCTAGCCAAGTTGTTTACTTAATCAATTTCATAAAATATCGCCTGTATGTAAATTGCAAATAGACATCTAACTGAAATACCTCAAAAAATAGATAAAATGAGTATCTATGTCACAGATCTACTACACGTAGTCCGGACAATATCCTGATACATTAATACTACGCCAAATAAAACAAGACAATAAACAAGTCTATGTGGCATGGACAATCCCCATGCTCACCAAATCAACAACATAACCAACAGCGTCTCAACAACATAATCCATAACATAAATGAAGCTAAAAGCATAATAGCAGCAAGCATATCCAGCATCCAACAAGTCAGCAAATAAAACCAGTAATATCTAACTCAGCTCCGGCCTCCTGCCGCCTGGGGTCTCAATCCCGAAAATACCTGAACCTGAAATAAGCATTTCCCAAACGTGGGGTGAGATCTCTAAACCAGAAATCTCAGTAAGATAAGAGGTCCTCAAGGATCTTCCACCCCAAGCTCACTTACATGTGCAATATAAGTTCCAAAAGCAGTAATTCAATATAAGTTCCAAAACTCAATGCAGTGCAACAAATATTCATGCCATGTGTGTTTCACTATTCTACTGGCAAGAGAAATGCAGGAATACGTCTATCACCTACATATAGTACAAGGAACACCGCTTGCACTTCACCCACAGCCTCACCATGTTGTATGTACCACATACTCAGGCTTACCGTATAGGTGGAACACCACATGTATATCATAAAGGCACTAGCATATAACAGCTCAAAAGCATTTCAAAATATCCAAAGCATGTAACACATCATGCATATAACCATACCCCAAAGGGACATGGTGGAACCACAACATGGCTAAATCGAGGACACAAAAGCTTACCTTGCAAGCTAACTATCCAAGCCAAGAGTCTACACAAGCTCAAAGTCCAAACACAGCAGTATCACAATCTATTTTAGACTTAGATTAACAACCTTAAGCTTGAACGATTAAAGTTAACTCATTTCATAACATAAACAAGCCATTTTCATGAAAATTCAAAGGAAAGTTCAAGGTATACCAATGGAGGTTCAAGCTCAACAAAAAGAAGGCTCTTGGAGCTCTCCAACAAGGCTCAAAGATTCTGACTTTGCAAGAGCACGAAAATACAACACAAGGTTGGACCTTTCTCTCAAAGATGGCTTTTTTAAGCACCAAATGCCATAACCATGGCTTTCCCAAAGAACACTCACCAACTCAGCCCACTAACATCCAAAAACCAGAAGTTAAACTCAGCAAATAAGGATCTTTAACTCACACAAGGCTTGTCCTCACAATACTAAACCATTTTCGTGAAGGAACTACGACCAAAGGTGATCACTTTGATGAAATATGTGAAGAAGAAGCTATGGAGTGGAGAAGAGAAGGTGGCTGTTGAAAGGAACCATAAAACTCACATAACACAAAAGAATTCTGACCTAGGGCATTGTGCCATAAGCTTATATAGGCCCACTTAAGCATTAAACACACATATATAACAGTAATTGCTACGCTTAGCATTTTAATCCCAAACTCAGGATTCTTAACCTACTCAATTTTACAAGAATTATCATATTTTTATTTTATTTTTCGGAGTACCTTTCCGGTAAGCGCTTTTCCATAGCCAGTATTAGTTTTAGCACCAATTCTCATTATTTTAACTTGAAACTCATTTTACAAGTCCTATATAATATTCTAGTAATATATACTCACTTATTATAATTTTCCGGGATTATACCGACTAGCAGAACCGGTATCTGCGCTTTTCGTCAGAAAAGCGACTTTCAACATTATTAATCACTTTCTATGTTTATTTAAGCCTCATAATAATTATTAGGGTCAATTATGGAATTATTTCTTAATTTCACATAATTAATTAATTAACTTCCTTAATTAACGGTGCGGGTTCTTACATTCACCCCACATTTTTAAGGATTTTGTCCTCAAAAATCAGAAACATACCTGTCTCGAAACTCGGGGTACTGCCGGAGAAGCTCGTCCTTGCGCTCCCAAGTACACTCCTCGGGAGTTCTTCCAGTCCACTGCACTTTGACCATCGGAATGATCTTGCTCCTCAGCTGTTTCTCGCCACGATCGAGAATCCTGAGTGGTCCGACAGTTGTTTTCAAGTTCTCCTGAACTTCCACATCATCAGGTTGCACCACGTGCGCAGGATCTGCTATGTACTTCCGAAGCTGAGACACGTGAAACAAGTCGTGGATGTTGGCCAAGTTCGGAGGCAAGACAAGTCGGTAGGCAGCAAGTCCTACTTTACGAAGGATCTGGTATGCCCAATAAATCGCGGGCTCAGCTTCCTCACTCCGAGTGCCCGTCCAACACCGGTGACAGGTGAAAGTCTCACAAACACGTGCTCACTCTCACTGAACTCCAGCGAACGATGCTTGAC